TCGGAAACACGCATGCTTACGTGTACGCTAAGCACCCTGCCCTCCCTTTAGTACTCAAATATCAATGCATTATGAAAAACTATAAAATATTAAAACGATGCCGCCTTCGGATAATGTATTAGCTTTGTGCAAATCCCCATATGTTAGCTGGGAAACACATGCATTTATTGATGTCAACTACACATTCTAGTTTTAACCAATTGAAGCCACCTTCGCTGCGCTCGGCAGCCAGTAGAAATATTTAAATTATTTTATCCAATGATTTGTCCGGAAAAGCGTGACAGGCACGACAATTTAGTGTGACGGACAGACAGGTTGCTGCAGTAGATGTTTAAGACTAGCAGTCTGGGCGTCCGCTCCGCGGACGCTAGGGCATGGTTGGTTGGTGTAGAGAGGGCCGACCACCTCCGCTGCGATGCGGTGGGCTTAGAATTTCTACTCAAAGCGAAGCAACATATAGTACATGTATACTGTGGTCTACGTATATTACGTTCCAAAACAACACCGCACACAGTATCTATAGTGCTCGCATGTTATGGTAGACACGACCAGGGTTTAACGTGATCTGCAAGAAGAGCACCATCTTACCCGGGAAGGTTTTGTCTATAATCTCGCTTGAGCGCATAGCTCCCAAAATGACACGAATCGGAGGCGTGCGTGGCTGCAAAGCTAACAAATGCTGTTCAGAAGACATGTCAGTATCAGTGATGATCCACATTGGCATAGACCGGTGAGGAATCCCAGTTTAGCTGGAGTAAATACGCCTACTCACACATATTACCATCTGCACGTCATCGCCGTGAGGCAGTCGACACATATCATCGATTGCGACGATCTATTTGGTCATCTGCTCGCGCGAAGTATCTTTTAGGACAGGTAGTATTTGCTGATGGTCGCCATAAACATCAATATTATGCCTTGAAATTGTCCCGCTGAGCTCTTTATGATTTTAATGAAGGGCCTTTCCACTATCTTTCGCATGCATTGATCATACTTGCATAGCTGACGCACTTACTGACGTATGTACATAAATACGGACCGACAGAGTGGCGTAGGTCCTTTCCGACTGGCATTTACTGGTTCCTAAATGTATGCCAAACACACAAAGCCACATGGCTGTAGACAGAGTATCAAATTATAGTGGTGTTTTGACTTAATCTGAAATGTAGCTCATGTACTGTACATTTTATGAAGTACATTTGCTGCCTACTTATCAACTCGGCGTGCTATTTGATATGTCCGTGCATATATTGCAAGGTCGCTAATGAGTGTGTATACCACGCGCTCGTGAGAGCCAAAACCTATGTATAGGGTCACTGTCGCTCTCTTGGTACATTTGCGTCGTCGTGCTGGCTTACTGTGCTTACGTTTCTGATGTACCAGTCTATATGACCAGGCGCGTTACTAACTCGGCACATGCCATACCGCAGAGATACATGATAGATGACCGCGCGGCGAGTACACGTATAACCATCCCCAGCTCTGATCCCGACCAATTTGAGCAGGGCACTAAAGTACGGTACTGCGTACAGACACATCAACTTGCCACATCCACTTGTATAATCTGCATTAACCGCCCCACACGCTCTCCGGTTTGTGTAAAACACAAAATTTATTCCTCCCGCGTAAAGCTCACTCCATACTGTAGTTTAATTTATGAGCGCACATTACTGGAATATACACCGTAAGCGTGATGGTACACGTAGCAAGGATTTGCGTGTGTCCCAAGTGAGCGAGTGTACTTTTCATCTACGGTGGCGCCTATGTGGATAGGGACGGTCAGTTTGCAGCGGTACACAGTTGATAGCACGTGTTAATTATTAAATGAAACGTGCTACGCTCTGTAGGTGCGTCAAAACGTTTGGCAGTGCCAAAGGCAGCTTGCCGTATGTGCGGCTCCAACCCTCGCACTGTAGTCGGGTATACTAAATACACAAATAGGTAAGAAAATGGGGGCCTAAAAGGGTATATTTACCAATTACTTTCTCTTCTGCTGCTTCTTTTACTCGATGTACTTGACGTTTCGGGCGGTCAGCTTGCGAGGGCGGCTGCGCCTCTTTTTCTTCTTGGGGTACCAGTCAGGGCCCATCGCCTTCTTGACGTTCGTCAGGCTTTCCTGGCGGCGCACTTCGGCCGAATCAGGTGGTGGGGGCTTTTCCTCCCAAAACTCAACCGCTTTCGGGCCGTTCTCGCAGGCAATACAGCGCCGCACGATGTCCCGCCCGCTGATTGTACGGAACGCGTAGCCGTACTGCAGCTTCCCGCAGCAGACGCAGCGCGGCCGGGCATCCGTCGTAGACCGTTGCGGGTTCAGCAGAAGCGGGTCAATCTTCGCCTCACATTGCTTGCACGTAGGGCCCACCATTTTGCAAGCTGTGAGTATGTTAGCAAAATATATTGTTTTAACAAATTACTTTCGCCTAAATATTAGCCAATAGCGCGGTACTGTAAGGCTGGTATTTATTATTAAGCAACATATTAAAATGTTTTATACTATTACTATTTTGCTTTGCTTTAATAATATTATTATCAGATTTACAAACAAATACATACTTTACATGCGATAAAAGTGACTCAAAACACTATGTACCGTGCGCGCATGCATTCGTCGAGTGCTTTGCACGGGAGCAGATAGCGCAATGACCGTGCAGCCACGCGCCTTCATTGCACGGTGGCAGTGGTGAGTGCCAGGTGACGTAAAAAATATATACATATTCGCAAAGTCCCTACAAAAAGCGCTGGTCGTAAAGCCTACTTTAGTATTAAAAAATACTATCGTCTCTACTTTAGAAAGTCTGTGGAAAATAGCATCGCCGAGCTCTTACAAATGCGGCCTGTGAAGCTTATATTAGTAATATTAATACTATTAATAATGTCTTTACTTTGAAATGTGTGTGGAAAATAACATCCCAGAGCTCTTACAAAATACTGATCTGTGAAGTCTACATTAATAATATTACATATCTCTATTTGAGATGTGTGCAGAGCTCTTAGAAAAATAAAGTGGTTAGTGTGCCCGATTTGCAGTACATACGATAGGTTTTGCGTCGCTGAATGTCAATAATCAAGTATCTGCGCAGCTCGCCTGGCTGTTTGCAACAAATCGCTGTGTTTCGTTCTTTACAGAAATGATTACCTTACATCTAATCGCGAGGGAGAGAGGCGGTCTGATCGTGCGACAGATCCAGTCAGTGTCGCAGGTCGGCAGGTATTGCCCAATCAGGGCGCGAGTTAATTGTGTAACGCTTTTGGATATATTTGTAATTTTGGCATAGTTAGGTCGAGTCAGAAAGGTAGGCGCGGTCGGTACGATGGGAAGAAACTGTATTAGACAGGCCGGGTGTAGCCATGCGAAAAGGCAGGCAAAAGCAGGAAGAGAGGAAAGCGACGGACTGATTGACAGACGGACGGACGGACAGGCTGCAAGTTTAGGTGGCGGGAAATACTTTGCTTTCAATCAATCATCTGCGCAGCTCGCCTGGCTGTTTGCAACAAATCGCTGTGTTTCGTTCTTTACAGAAATGATTACCTTACATCTAATCGCGAGGGAGAGAGGCGGTCTGATCGTGCGACAGATCCAGTCAGTGTCGCAGGTCAGCAGGTATTGATTAATCAGGGCGCCG